ATATATATATATATATGGGCAAATTATTCTTATATCCATATAAGAATAAACAGTCTTACATTAAATCTTGATAATTGATTTACTTGAATCTAACAGCTCATATACTTAATAAATCAGGACCATTAGATATAAATAGAATCTATGATCAAGATTAAGAGCATAAATTACACTATCATGCGTGTAAAACGATCATTATCCATATATCTATATTGCAATTAGAACTTTACAGTTTAGTACATTACAAAGATAGTTTCAAAAATTTCAGCTTGCAACCTATGCTAAAGCCAACAAGTCCCAATTTTTCTTCTTAAATACTCAAAACTTGCAACTCTGTGCCCAATGGTTCACACACACCTCACTTTTCAACTCTCTAAGTTTCACAGATCCCAATCATAAAAAAAATCACAATAAGTCCTCTACTACAGTCTGTTGCAATTCAAAGTCAATTATAACACTTGAAGCCAGCAATCAAAGGAACAGACACCACATCAATTTCGAAACCATATATTGAAATTGAAAGAAAGCTCTAGATTTAGCATGAAATGAACCTGATGAAACTCAAATGCCCACTGCTAATAAGAATTACAAAGACAGAATGTTAACTGGGTTCTGCAGCGGTGTTGTTTTCCAGTGTCAATGGCAGTTCAAAGACCTCAGCGGGTGAAAGAGAGAGCGGAACTGTGTCAAACGGACACAAAGCTGAACCGGCTCAGGCTATGTAGGCTTCGGGCTTAAGCCCGGGCCAAGCTCTGAAACCATTGATATGGGCTTGGGCCCAAAGGACTGAAAATTCGACAAGTCAGTTAAGCAGTGGGTCATGTCAATCACATGCTAAATCTGAGCATTTTTTTCAAAAACAAGAAAAATTAGTCATAAATGTTTTGTGGACTTAGTTTTAGAACATGTTTTGGCCTCTCTCTATTTTTTTTTAATTTTGAGGTAAAAGATAATTTTATTTTTTATACATATAAAAATATGTGTAATCTATATTTTTTCTTTATCTCTTCTCTTGATATGATCTTATATGGGTTTCACACACTTTTATACGTGTGTAGAAAATAAAATTATCTCCTGTAATATGAGAAACATCAAATCTTTAAAATTTATTTTAAATTTAAAGATAAATATAAATTTACAAAGTTAAAGGTGTTTGGTGATTACAAAGTCATAAATAAAAAATCAGCTACTTTAGCTTCTATAAGAATATTCTAAAATATTGTTTTGGCTCGGCTTCTCTTTTTAAGGAGAAGAAAAATTGAATATAAATAAGGGATAAGATATTGTTACTACCAAATAATATTATTATCATATCTTAATTATTGATTTTCGTCAATCAACGGTTATCATTTATTGTGAATTAATAATTAATTAATGAGTTTCATTTGTGGAAATAATAACTGTTGATTGACGCTAACATCAATGGTTAAAATATGATAATAACATTTGGTAGTAACAATATCTTATCCCTATAAATAAATAGGGTCAAACAGATATTTACTAATTCCTACCATAAGTTAAAATATATTATCAGTTTCTCAATTTTAGATTGTTTTTATAAATGAAGTCAAATTTACATTTTAATTTACAATTTTTCTTGCTTAGTAAAATTTATAAGATTTTTTTAAAAATAAATGTGTAAATATCATTAATACCATTTTAATTGACAATGGTGAAGAATAAAATGAGTTTTGATTTAAAAACAATCAATTGAAAGAATAAAATAATTCTTTCAATGTCAGGAACAAACATGTGTAACTTATTTCTAGCATGTTTTCTTGTTTATGTACGTTCAGTTGTATTCCCTCATTCCCACGGCATTACCACATTTATCAAACAATTAAGTCCAAATAAATAGTCAAAAAGAACAAACATGATTTTTTGTTGATGGTGGGGCAACCATATCTTCAAGTCTTAAAAAAGTGTATCTTTTGTTGATGATGGGGTGAACTCCTAAGATAGTCAGTAGAAATAAGATGCAGTAACAATAACAACAACAAAAAGTGTATCCTTTGTTGATGATGGGGCAACCTCCTAAGATAATTAACATTTAGGCTTTCGCTATAATTATGCAAATAGATAATTATAGTTCCTACTCCAGGAACGGATAAATCAAGAGAATTTTCATTTAGGCTTTCACCATACAACATCTAATTAAATTGTAAGCCATGTTGCACAGACATGCGGTTCACGTTAGTGTTAATAATTGTGGTTCCCATACTACACAAACTACTGCATATATAACCAAACAGTATAAATTCTTGGTACCAACACACAGGTTCAATCTCCTCTGTTCCTATCAAAGATAGCCACGGATTGCAAGGCAGCAGATACAGCAGAAACCATCCAGATATAGTATTTAAACATTGGAGCAAGTGGATCACATTCTGAGGCCTACAAATTGGCAAGCAGTTAACATGGTTAATGTTGAAGGTCCTTTCACCACTCTCCCATCAAAGAAGCCCTCATCCACCTCATCATGCCCTTTGTCCTCTGGTTCCACTCACCATTGAGCACGTGTTCTTCAGTCCTTTCTCCGTCGGCTGCACTTCTACACATATGTTAAGTTAATGGGCACTTGTTTCTTCAAGTTATATATATATATATATATATATATATATATATATATATATATATATATTTTCTGCTTGAAATAAAATTACATGTTATGTTAGGGTCACAAATGATGCCCTATGATTGGGATTTAGTGATCCTATGCATTCCTTTCCCTGTAATTTAAACTGTAAATCTCACCTTGTCTATTTGTTATCTTTCTAAAAGAGGACATGCTATATTATTCTAACAGGTTCAGATTATTAGCCTTTGGAAGCATAAAAGACTGATAAATGTAAAAGCTTCCTATACCATGTGTTTCTAACAATGCTGAACGATGGAATAATTACTTTCTGTCTTCTCATTTGCTTGGCACCCTTTATGGTTTTGCTAGCAAACTTAGAGCTACAGCCTAGAGGCCTAACAAGTAACAACTCCAGAAAAAGACCAGTAAATAAATGAGACACAAAAAATGATAGATTCTACCAATGAAATGGCAACTCAATGCATCTTTTGTAGGAAGGAAAAGTATTGGAATCACAACTTCGTAGGAAAGATGCATCTGGGCACAGAAATCAGAGCCTCCCAACAGACTGCAGCAATCATAGGTGGCATCATATGAAACTAGAGATGACTAAACAATACGTTACTAGGGTATTAAATAATTGTTTATGCTATTCCAAATCAAAATTGGTATGCAACTTAAGGAAGTAAAACATAATAAGTAGATAAGAACAAAAAGGGCGTTGAGCAGTTGACCTTTTTCCTTTAGACAAGCCTTTTGTTCCCACTTAAGAATTCTCAAAAATATTGGTGGCTTGAGGAAGATAAATTATCAAGATGGCCAGTCACCAGTTTTAAACAAAAACTGAAAGGTCTGGACCAAAGATAAAATTGAGATTGCTACCTAAAAGGATAGATTTTATTAGGATATTAAGTAAAATATGCAACATGGAAGCCATTTTCTTGATGCGACAACTTATGGAAAGATACTGAGAAAAGAAGAAGGACTTGCATATGGTGTTCATAGACCTTGAGAAAGCATACGATAAGGTTCCAAGGAAAGTTTTATGGTGGGTTCTGGAGAAGAAAAAGGTTCCATCAAAGTATGTAAAGACAATCCAGGATATGTATGATGGGGCTACTACATGTGTAAAAGCTTGTAACGGAACATCAAATTATTTTCCTATCACGGTTGGTGTACACCAAGGGTCGGCTCTAAGTCCTTATCTCTTTGCCTTAGTTATGGATGAACTAACAAAAGATATTCAAGAGGAAGTGCCATGGTGTATGCTTTTTGCAGACGATATTGTGCTTATTGATGAGAGCAAGAAGGGTGTTAATAGAAAACTTGAATTGTGCAGAAGCACATTGGAATCCAAAGGATTCACATTAAGTCGAAGCAAGACTGAGTATCTGAAGTGTGAGTTTTCTCTGGTACGAGATGGGGACCAAGAGCCAGTGCATTTAAGTGGTCAAGAGGTACCCTAAAAAGATGCTTTTAAATACTTGGGCTCCATTTTGCAAAAAGGTGGAGAGATTGATGAGGATGTAAATCACAGAATCAGAGCAGGATGGATGAAATGGCGCAATGCATATGGGTTTTTGTGTGACCGCAAAATCTCCCTTAAGTTAAAAGGAAAATTCTATAAAATGGCAGTAAGACCAGCAATGCTATATGGAGCGGAATGCTGGCCAGCACATATGCAACATGAGCATAAGATGGGAGTAGCAGAGATAAGGATGTTAAGGTGGATGTGTGGTTACACAAGGATGTATAAGATAAGAAATGAAGATATTCGACGAAAGGTCGGAGTAGTACCGGTAGCCGAGAAGATGAGAGAACATAGATTGAGGTGGTTTGGGCACGTGATGAGAAGGCCGCTGGATGCTCTTGTAAGAACAGAAGTTTGTTACCAAGAGCACAACACAAAAAGAGGCAAAGGTCGGCCGAAACTTACTTGGGGGAAGGTAGTAAAACAAGATTTAATGGAGTGGGATATAGATTGGCGGACGGTATGTCTTAGAACGGAATGGAGAAAAGCTATAAGTATGGTGGAGGGTTAGACCTGTTGTTATTCCTATGTTCCAGATGGTCCCTTTTTAGTCCTTTTCTCCTTCATTTCTCCCACTTCTTCTTGTCCCTTTCTTTTTAACTTTTATTTATTTATATATACATATATATATATATATTTTTTTATTTTTTTTTTATTATTTTTTATTTATTTATTTATTTTTTATTTATTTTTTATCTTTTTCAACCGTTTTGTGTCTTTCATGTGAGTTCATCTACCACCGACCCCAATTAATTTGGGATAAAGGTGATGTTGATGTTGATTAAGTAAAATATGCAACAGTCAACACTAGTTCAGAGAAACATATAAACAACTACAAATACTCAATCTATATTCATTGAAAGCAACACAAAGTTAAATATCTAAAGCCAAGTTCTAAAAGTATCCTAAACCTTTAGTTTAAATACAAGAATCAGTTTCAAGTAAGCAATAAAAGGTAAGGAAACTGCTTTGAGTACGCACCATAACATGCATATAAAGAATGACAGTGCATATACATTAAAAAAACCCAGGATCACCATGCACAAACAAAATCCAGTTTCACCAAGCCCACATTAACCGAGTTTGGGGAATCACCAAGCGCAGATTTAAAAGAGCCAAAATATTAAAAAAAAAAAAAATAGAAGAAAATCAGAGGATATACATCTTCTGCGAATCTGATAGGAGTTGAAACCCAGGAGCTGGAAGGCAATAGTTGCCAGACTAGAAATTCAAACATGCACCCAAACTCACACTTTACTTCCTCAGTGATTTTTGGCTTATAAACCCCATTTTAACTTGGCCTCTGTTTTTCAGCTTCACACCCCGGTGTCGGCGAAGGATTTGCCACCAATGCAGCTTCTTCATACTATGTCCGTGTGGGGTGTACCTTGATCCTTTCACCCCACCAAGCTTGGAAGGATTTGGTTTCTTCGAATGCCGGATGTGTCTCACAAGCCCTTCTGCAAGTCTGTGAAACTGCCCAACCTGGTTTGTGTGAGGCAACACTTTAGTAATAGCCCCTCTCCTTGTCTTCTCAACTCTTTGTTTTGTTAGCACCCCATGCTTATTTTTGTGGTGGAAGACATTCTGCAAGTGATTCCACATAGAATGTCTATGACCTGCCTTAGAATGAATGCCACCATGATCATCAACATGGTGGTGATGATGATGGTGGTGATGATGGTGAAAGATTAATCCCAATTTATTTTTCAGCCTCCTTAGGCCTCCGATTGTTTTCTTAGGATTTCTTTTACGAAGGTATCTATAAGATTTGAGACTTCCAACTCTTTGTGAAGGGCCATCATCCTTATAGAGACATGAATTACTACTTTCTTCTGAGCTGCCTTCATATGATGCATCAACCATCCTTCCTGAAGTAGGACCTTGTGTCCCACTTGGCAAGGAGTAGTCCTCAGAGTCACTACTACTATTGGCACTGCCTTGCTGAGAAGTCTGATTAGAAGAAGGGTGAGAGTTTGAGCTTGACTCCTCCAGTTCATGATTTTGCGGTCGAACCCTTGTCTTCCTAGGTTCAGCATGACCAGTCTTATGAGTTCCTCTCCTCTCCAAAACTGACCAGTCTTTGTGTTGATGGGAATTCACCTTAATCTCACTGGACCTCTGGTCCAATAGAGTTGGTCTTACTATCATCTGATGAGGTGGTGGCTTTTTTCTCCTGGCAAAAATGGGTGTGGATTCCACTAATTTCTGTGCATAGGAAGATTCAGGACTCCTTTCCTTCTGATTCTGATCAGTCTTAGACCAAGCCACTGGATTTTTTCTGACCAAACTTTCCCTATTTGTTTGACCAGCTAACAGGGAAGGCTTCTTAGTAAGATCATCTTGATTCAAAGGGACCCTCAAACCTTGAATACACTCACTAGCTTGACTCCCAAAATAGGTGTCACCACTAACTAACTTATTCAATGACACAACTCTATCTATCATGGCCATGTTCTGTGCTGAAGGTTGAACCCTATTCCGATTTCTCAACTCCTCTCCTCCTGATACCAACTGGTTACCAATCCGCTTTGGTATATCAACACTCTTTGCAGATTCTGCACTATAATGAAGCCCAAGATTTTGACATGCCACCTGACTCTGATTCAATGTTTCATTTTCAGCTAAAAAGGGTTCCTCAAATTCATTTGCAGAAATCAAATTTTCACCCTTACAACTTACTTTACCTGTCTGCTGATTCATTAACCTATGTCCATCCAAGAGAGACCTTCCACAACTCAACTGACCTACTGCAGTCCCATCTTTTCTCTGTATTACAGGATTATCTAAATTTGCTACTTTGTGCCTAGTATGTTGACCTGCACTGTTCTTAGTGGAATCCATCAAATTTGAACAAAGTTGCAAAGCTAGAATGCGAGATTCAATTCTTTTCATTGCATTGATCAAATCATTAGAGAAATCACCCTTCTGATCTGGAGATTCAACCCGTCTAGCAGCACTAGAATCACATTGAGTTTCATGAATTTTATTCGTCAATGGTATATTATTGTCTTCATTGGACTCACCAGCTTGAGCCCCAAAAATTTGCCGTGATTCTTTTGCATGCTCACCAACACCATATAAAGTATTCACATTATTATTCTCTGTGTTGGGTAAAATACCCTTCTCATTAGATAGATTTGTTGCCTTGACTAAATTCTGTTGCATCATACTGTTCTCCTCACCTAGACTGCATAGTGATTTACTGTTTGTTCCTACATTATTTGAGATGCTAAACTTCGACAGCTCTGGCAGTTCTTTCTTAGATAGCAATCTCAAGTGGGGCTGCTCATTCTTCTGTGAAGTCATTTCACTGCAAGTAGGATATTTTACAGGGCTTTGAGAAATGTTGGCTGCCATTGGAGATTTTGACTGCAGCTCGGCCACATTTTTTTCTTGTTCAATGGATGTCTTAGATATACCTTCTTGTGTTGCTAAGATCTGTTAAGTTATCATAAAAGAATCTAAATTAAACAACCGAAATCATATTCTTATTCCTGCCTGTAGGTCCAGTGTGTGCTAGAAGTAGAAGCATTGCTATATATATATATATATATATATATATATATATATGTGAAGTAGGATCCTTTGACTACAGAGTCAAATTTGAAATTTGACACCTCATCCGAGAGCCATTAGATCAAAAAAGATCAACGACTCTGGTTTGTAAGCATGTGACATCATTGATATTTTTTGATCTAATGACTCTCAGATGAGGTGTCAAATTTAAAGGATAGAAGTTTATATCACTGGTGTCAAAGGATCCTATATATATATATATAGGGAATAACATCTGTCATTTTAAAGGATAGAAGTTTATATCATTTTAAATTCTAATAGTTGATTTCCGTCCATCAACGGTTATAATTTATTGGATCAAAATTATTAATTAATTAATAATAAATTTGTCCCATTAAGTTTGACCCAATAAATTATAACCGTTGATGGACGGAAATCAACGGTCAGGATCTAAAATGATATAAGGTTATATCCTTTAAACTTTAAAAGGATATATGTTTTCCCATATATATATATATATATAAAGAAGGGTCGCATTATAAAAGGATGAACGGTATGCACCTTTAAATGAGTCTCAGAAACACTTTCAACCGTAACATCCAGCAAACTTTTCAATAAAAGTCGAGCTCTATCAACCAACTGCTAGAAACAAAAGAAAATATACATATCTGAGAGTTATTAATTAAGAAGCATTCAGATTTCTCTAAGTATGCATACCAACTAGCAGCAGGAATGTTAAAAAAGAAAAAAGAATAACAAAATGTATTTCTTTCATTTTTTGTAACTCTCACATTAAATTAGGATCAAAGCTCTCACAACAGAATAATGAAACAGGGAGAAGAATCTCGTTCCAAAAAATGAAGATAACCCATGACAAGTGAAAATAGTTGATAAAAAAATGAAACTTAAATGTTAATATACTATAAAAAAAAAAAAAACACTGACATCATCTGAATTTGCGTTTTGCAGGGCGAGGCTATTATCTTCAAGAAGCCTATATAAGAGTCTTATAGCACGGAGATTATTGTGTGCTTTCTCAAATTCCATTGAAATGCACTCGTGGTATTTGAATTTGAGCGTGAGCACTTGTGTTTTGTCTTCAATTTGGAAACTTGCGCGTGTATCTGTCACAAATTGATTGTCTGAAAGTTGAGGAAATCGGGTGCGTTAGGGTTCATCTGCGAATGTGAATCAATTGAAACCAAAACGAATCGTTTTAATTCGAATATGAATAAATAAAGAAAAATGCAGAAGTACCTGCATAAGAAGAACAAATAGTAGAAGAAGAAGAAGAAGAAGCAAAAGACTCAAATGTAGAATGAAGGAAAGGAACACGCGCGTAACTTCAAACTTCGCAGCAGTTGTAAGTTGTAACTGCTAATACCACAAAATTTTAGAAGCCATATTCATAACTCATCTAATAATATTTCTATAATTCTATACAGATATTTTACTTTACATACGTTAATCTTTTTTCTTTTCTTTTTTTTTTTAAATTTTTTTTGTAAAAACAGTTTAAAATAATAGAAGGCTCTCATTATTTTAATGTCATGACAAACTATTAACATCAACAATGATTTATTTTTATTTTTTTGTATAAGTACATCAACAATGATTTATAATACGGAACATATTGCATATCAATCGGAAAAATTTGTACTCGAATTCAAATTGTACAATTGATAGGAGTGGAAAGGTACATGATTTTACAAATAATAAGAACAATCATGAAAAAAAAAAAACTCTTAACAAACTATTTTTCACAATTCTGAATCACTATATTTTATTTGTATATTTCTTTACTTTATTTTTACCGTCCACGGCATGTTTTTAGATTTTTGCCCATATTTTTCTTTAGTAGCCTTTTTTTTTGGTAATTTCTTCAAAATGGCTAAGCAAGGGTAATTGTGTGCAAACTTTAATTTTTTTCTCTCACGGAAATTTTTTTTAGCATGAAAAAAAAAAATATTTAGCATGAAAAAAAAAATATTTAGCGCAATTTGTTATATAAAAAATTATTTTAAATACAATAATAACATTTTTATAATTAAAATTTATAAGTATTAAAAAGGCAATGTTCATGCAATTAAATGGAATTTAATTGTTGGGAAACAACATACATGGATACATCCTCTTCACTCCCCTCATTTTGTTCCACTGTTATTTGAATTTCTCTTTCTTCCTCTAGTTTCGTACTGTATGAAATGTGTCGCTTATTTTTTTTAATTTCACAAAAATAATGTTTAACACTGAGGAGTTTCCAGAAAAAAATAAAATTGAGGAGCTGTTACGGTACTTTATGAGTACGGTACTTAAGAAAGTTACTAAATATTTATTAATTGTCAAATTTTCAAATTATGTTTAAATGTCTTTGAAAAATGTAAGTAACAATGAATAAAATGTTTGGTGTTTGTGAGATGTGGGCGTGATGAGGTTACACGGCAGTTGTTTGACAGAATGCCTGAGCACCAATCTTGTTCTTATAATTGAATTTTTTTCTGCGAAACTTTCTTTAAAAAATAGCAGTGCCGCGTGGTTTTTTCCTCTGCTTTAGTTGGGAATCTTGGGATCACAATCACGTAAATCGTAATGTTGGGTACATTGCACATATTCCATAGCTCCAAGTGGGTATTATCAAAATTGATTATCATAGACCTTGTAAGATATGTGTCTCGGGTTGAACCGAAGCAAGGAAGTTTTCAAACACTAATATCACTAAAAATAAATTATACAACTAAATATTTACATCAACATATGATAAATCACCAATCAAATACAAGTTTGTAAATAATTTAACTAATATGGTATGTTTAACATTGGCAAAAGGGGTGGGGGACATCTCAGAAAAAATCACGGAGCAGTCAGAGAGGAGGAGGAAGAACAGAATATCACAACAAAGGGGATTAGATCGCACAAGCAGAATTGCCACCTGCCACTTCTTTGATTAGATTCAGATACAATCACATGAGGTCTCTCGTCACTCATGGAGATTTTGTCGTTTGAAACAAATTGGTCTTCTTGATTATTGATATTCCAATGAATTGGATCCCAAGCAATACTTGAGGAGGGTTGGCTTTTCTCGCTAGTCACTTGATCCCCCTATTCCAATGGATACAAAGTTAAATGACTAAACTATGATATTTCATGCTTATTATCAGCATTTTTCAAATGTAAATATTTTAAGATCAAGTAAACCAACCGCATTCTGCTTATGTCATTTACTTACAACAAATCTCTTCACTTATTTTCTCATTTCTTTAGTTTAATACAGACGTACATATGCGTGCTCTAGGTAATGTAAAATAAATTGAGAACTTTCTACAAACATAACTGACAGTAGTTCTATTCCAACTACAAATCACATTAGACCAGACACATATATCCTTTTAAAAAATATAACAAATTAATAAGTGTTATTTAATAAGTGTAGTCAAAGGCACTAAAAGGTGCGTGTAAGGCGCGGTGAGGCAAGGCACTTGAATGATTATTTTTACATGATGCAATGCAAGCGTGACAATCCAAGTAAATGACATTTATATATACATATTTACATGCTATTATGAATTGAGCACAATACGTATGCAAATATGTAATAAGATAGATATAATCCTAAGAGATATACGATCCCTCATGGGGTGGCTTTCAACAAGGAATGATCCTGACAGCTAGGTAGTAGTCTTTTCAAATTAGGGAAAATCACCATGCATTTGAGCGACCTTAAAATGTATCCCTGTGCTAAAATAACTCAAGGCATTATTCAGATTATCCAGAAAGTTTTACGGGCAAGGGCATGCTCATGCATTGGTTATCAGCTCTAACTACAGTAAGAAGCAGTATGTATAGTGAGTAACGTATGAAGAGCCAGATAATAAAAGAGATGTATAACTAGGTTACCAAGTAAACTCTTTTGTTTCTAGAGTAAGAATTAGACACTAGAGATTAATATATCAGTTAGGAATGCCATCAATACATTCTAACCTTTGTCATTGGTAGCAGCTTCATTACTGGACTCCACCCATTGTCCTCTCCATTGTTGGTGTTGCATTTTACCATTCCCTTTCTTTTGGCTTCATTTACACTTTCACAGCTCTCAAATTTTTGCTTGACGGTAGAAGGTTAATATTGCTCTGGCGTTGTTTTACCGATTCCCCTAATTCCATGGATCCCTACCATGTGGACTCATCGGAGCTAATATCCAGAAGCTCCATTACTTGTAGCACTCAATAATGCGCGATTTCAAACTCGTGGCAGACTTTTCCCATGATACTGTTAATAGACTGATCATGTTCATATCCATCTCTGTCGAATCATAGAAATACGAGTGAAATCATAATACACTAAATGCATCCCATATAAGTCTTGAAGATACTTTTTATTATTAATACAACTCAAAAGTGTTTGACATACAAGAAGCATTTCTTTTTTTCCTCCTTATATTTGAAGGTTGAATCGCTGTAGTTAGAAATATGAAAAATGAAAGAAATGAAATAGAAGGTACCCGAGTGTGAGACGATAGCCGGGAAAGTCAGCTGCTTGATGCAGAGCCATCCTCCATTTTTGGAGCTTCTCAGTGTCATTCTTGAACCTCTTCTCATTACAACCAACTGCTTCTTGATAGCTTCCACTCTGATGCCTCAAATGAGAAGGATCCACGTCATAAAAAACCGGCAAAACAAAGCGACCCTTATCTTTGATGCAGGCAACGATGTTGACAAGTGCATCTAAACAAAATGAGGAAGATGCATAGTTCTTAGAGAAGACAACTATGGCAGTTCTGGAATTTTCAATATCAGTGATACATGACGGTATGATTTCCTCTCCTCCGTGACGATCCCCGTCACAACGAAAGATGTGTAATCCCTGTTCACGGAGTCTATTCCAAAGTTTTTCAGTAAAGCCTGCGTAGGAATCAACTCCTCGATAGCTGAGAATGACATTGAAGGTAGTATTAACTCGTGGAGCAGGTATCAACTGAGAGTAGAAGGAAGAAGAGGATCCACCTGCCATCGTACGATCAAATTGGATTATACAGACACACTCAAATCAAACAACTAACAACTAACAAGGCCGAGCTCAGTTGCTTCATTAGATTTATTTCGAGATTTATGTCCTATGTTTACTTTTTCTATAATTCATGTATAAACTAACAACATTACGTATCTCATGTTTTCTTTTGCTCTCTAAATTTGATGCTTGTATTTTTATTCTTAGTACATGATAATATAAGGAATAGTTTTCGTGAAACAAAAAACGACATACTGATATGTACTAAAAAAAAGAAACGACATACTGATTCAATTACATTATTTGGCTGTGAAAAATTTCTTTCTATAGTTATCTTTGTTACAGGGAACTATCTGAGATTATAATTAATAATATAATTAAATAGCATAAATATCCATTAATTTTTTTTAAAAAAAAAATTAAAAATTAAAAATTAAAAACTTCACTTACAAAAATTGAATGATAGCATGGACCAAAAGATTTACGTCATTTTAATTTTATAATTAACTTGATAAAAAAATTATCATTACAATTACTTGCAATGAATAGTTTTCTTATATCAATTCTTCATATAAAACTCCTCTAAATTTCTATTCCATTTTTAAAGGTAAACCAAACTGTCTAATGACCAAAAAATCTCCAAGGAAAGCTGGGTTCAGCTTCATCACTAGCAGTATAACTAACTAGCCAAGCTTGACATTATTAATTCTGAATCCAAAACCACTTTTGAAGTTGCATGACAAGAATAAAATAAAATTATTTTCTTAAGAACTCCTTCACTGCATAAAATTCCAGTTAACCAGAATATAAGAGAAATAAATGTGACCAGATTCTTTACCTGCATAAATAGCCGAAATTTTATAAGGATCACAGAATCGGAAATAGTCCATGCTACATTTTTGTTCGAGTACATGGAGTCCAGCTTGTATCTGGCCCGGCTTGATTACCTGCTTCCTTCTTCCATGACGATGACTAACAGAATCAATAAAAAACACATGATTCCATTCATTTTCTAAAAGTACTTTATCCAACTGTATCCGTTTCAGATGAAAAATTACTATATGATCATCTTGGCATGAGAAATCACACTGAGGAGACATTTTCTTTCCATTGATGATCAATTCGAGGGAATGTTTTGAGGAATAGGATGAACTGTGTCGAGCAACAAAGCAGAGAGATATGGCAGGGAGTTTGTTGCGAAACCAGAAAGAAATTGGCAGTTCCTTGCTCTGGTGCTCGAACCACTCTGGAATCCTCGTTCCAGGCAAACAAAACTTCTTGCTCTGGTGCTCGTACCACTCTGGAATCCCCTTCCTCCGAGGCAAACAAAACTTCTCGCCTCCAGCCTCGTACAATACCTTTTA